CTCAACAACATAGTGAAACCCTGTAACAAAAAGTCACTAGGGAGCCTGCAGAGATGGCTCAGTTAAGAGCACTTGCTGCTCTTGCAGATGACCTGGGTTTGCTTCCCGGCACCCACATGGCAGTTCATGAGCATCTGTAACTCCAGTTCCAGGGGGCATTTGATTCCCTATTCTGATCTCCTCAGGTACTAGGCATGTAGGTGGTATACACACACACATACATACGTGCAAGCATTCATACACACAAAATGAATCTGACATTGTTTTGAAGTCATTAGACGGACACCTTTTGTCCTGGGCTTTTCTGGGAAGTGAATGCTGCCCAGAAGGCTAGCATTCTATCTGGGGGTCCCTGGAAAGGCTCTGAATTGAGGGCATCAGCACTCCACATGGAAACACTGCTCTATAGACAGTGAGGAAAGCAGACGGCCTTCTGTTCTGTTTTCCAGTGTAGAAGGTTGTCCCATGCCAAAAAATTCTCTAACAGGAGCAGCTGGACCGCACAGAGGAGGCTCCAGAGCTACGGCCCCCACCGGTCAGCATGGCCTGTGGGAACCCAGGGGACCAACCGGAGAGGGCGATTTTCTACTTGTAATTGATTGAAGCAAGAGTGAATGGCTCTTTGGGGATTTTCGAGTCCATTAGTGAAAACTGGTGTGACATTGGCTTCCTTCTGGGAAACGATAATATCAGTTTAGATTTTTTTTTTCATCATCATGAAAGCCAAATTATAGACTCATTTCACATATCATTCTACCGTGCTCTTTCCAAAATCATATTAATCCTCCCAAGCTGTTGCTGTAGAATTAATCCCATCAGCAGTGGAAACAGCAATGGCTTTCTTTTCTCCTAGTTTATGATGTTCAGGGGGAAAAAAAAAGAGATTATATAATCAACACTTTCCAAGGAAATCACAACTCAACATGGCTTAAGCTGTGTCATTTGGAACTTTACTTCCGCCTGGAAGTAACGACTTTAGTTTCTGGCGGATCTCTGGGTCAAAGAGGAGCAGCCTGTAACACTCGGGAAAGCCTGGCACACGTTCCACACTCACTCTTTTGAATCTTGCCTCCCCACAGGGTGTGAAAGAGCACAAATGTGGGATCTGTGGCCGTGAGTTCACCCTGCTGGCCAACATGAAGAGACACGTGCTGATCCACACCAACATCCGTGCCTATCAGTGTCACCTCTGCTACAAGAGCTTCGTGCAGAAGCAGACCCTCAAGGCCCACATGATTGTCCACTCTGACGTGAAGCCTTTCAAATGCAAGGTGGGAAGAAGGGGGGACTCCGGGGGCTGTAAAAATGTCTGACAGGCACGACCCTGGGGGAACCTTCTACTCCATTTCCTCAGTGGTACAACTGAGGCGCAGAGTAGGTCTGTGGCCAAGTCCAAGTTGTGCCCACCAAGTTGCTCCTGTTTCTGCCACACGTGCTCACAGCAGTTCTTAGCTGGTCCCTGTTTCTGTGACTATGGCGTTAGTGCTTGGGTTGGGGGCAGGGGTAGGCAGACAGTCATGAGAAGTCTGAGTGTAGAAAGCTCATTATAGAATAGCTTAGAAGAGGAGGAAGATGATGGGGGAGGCACTGCCGGTCTACAATGGAAAACCAGGCTGGCCCTGCTTCCATTATAAGCCAATGAGCAGGCACAAAAAGGAATCTGAAAATCTAACACATCTCCCATCCCTTGCTTGCCTTCCCTCTCCCGTCTTGACACTTGAGCTAAACCTTTCAATGTGAAAGCAGGCATCCCAAAGAGGATTCCAGTGTGCCGACTTCCTTCTCTCTGGATAGACCGCTAGTTCCTAAGAGAGTTGCAGCACGATCCATAATAGTTAAGACATGGAACCAACCTACAGGCACATCCAAGGATGAGGTGAAGAGAAGGTAGTCCATATACAAGATGAAAGGCTAGTCAGCCGGAAGAGGAGCAAAACCCTGGATCTGTGTCCAACACGAATGGAGGCCATATTGGAGGATGCGATGTTAAGTGCAATAAGCCAGGCACAGAGAGACAAATGTTGCAGTCTTTGCTCATATGTAAGAGCTAAGTTGACCTCATAGAAGTAGAGCTGAGAACAGCAGTTACCAGAGGCTGAGAAGGGGAGGAAGGGGAGGGAACAGACGTTAGGAGGGGTGCTGAAGTGCAGTTAGGTAGGAGAAGTGGGGTCTAGAGTTCCACAGTACAGCAAGGTGACTAGTTATCAAGACTTCATTGAGCATTTCTCCAAAAGATTTTGAGCAACCCCAATATCAAGCCTGATGACCTTGATCTGCTCACCGCATGCTCTATACATGAATCTAAATATCATTCTATATCCAACATATATGTATAGTCATTATGTGCCAATTCAAAATATTCTGAAAAAGTAGAAAAGGATCCAAAGTTATCCCTTCAAAGGACTCCAGAAATGCTTGTGTGGACTGAGGAGTAACTGAGAACTCCGCCTCTACGATATTTTTCCTTTATTCCTAAGTACCACACGGCCCAGGGTCTAAGGACCTTTGTAGAACAGCTGTATCAGATTACTACCGTTCATTCTTATTTTCTCAGCTGAGAGGATGTGGTGAGCTAGAGATCTTACAAGACCGTGGCTTTCCAAGGCTGCCCTGCCCCAGGGCTGTTTCAAGAGGGTAGCTTAGGCGTAGGTGGTTGGAGGTCTGTATGGATGGGTGCCATCCCACTCAGGAAGAGAGAGCAGAGGGAGAAGAGGAAATACTGCATTCAGACAGCGGAGTGTGTCCGTGTGAACACTAAGTTTTCCTTTTCTGTTGCTGCGTGCTGTCTAGAGTGTGGGTGACTCACTTTGCAAACCCGGATCCCTGCCATTGGACCCCCTCCTTCCAGGGATGCTGCTTTCATCCCTCGGTAGTGTGGCCCCCACTTGAAGGAACCCCCTGCGAAGTTGACTTTTTTTTCCCTGTGCTGGCAGCTTCTCCACGGGGTGAGGGGTCAGGAACCAGAGCTTCCCTGGGCCTTGTGGACATTGTCTAGAGAGGGGCCCTCTCCCCTGACTCCTTTTCCTGCCTCCCACTTCTGTTTCCCCTTCTTTTCTCCAAGCTTTCTGCTGTTTGAAAGTCCCGTTACAGCCGGGCGTTGGTGGCGCACGCCTTTAATCCCAGCACTCGGGAGGCAGAGCCGGGTGGATCTCTGTGAGTTCGAGGCCAGCCTGGGCTACCAAGTGAGCTCCAGGAAAGGCGCAAAGCTACACAGAGAAACCCTGTCTCGAAAAACCAAAAAAAAAAAAAAGAAAGTCCCGTTATGTCCCTCTTGAGTGAGCTCAAGGAGGAGAAAACAGTGTGCCGGATGGGGGGGGGGCATCACTTTCAAGGCTTCTTTGCAGGGGAGGAGTAATTTCCAGAGCAAATAAAGCATTAACTCAAACCCAGGGTCCTCCTGACGAAGATGCCCATGAGCACCTCCAAGTCACTGGGCTCCACAAGGACCTCTTCTCTCTCACTTCAGACGCTCTTCCGCTTTCCTTCTCACCCCATTGACCTCCTGGGTGCTTCACCATTGACAGTTACAGAGATACCCTGCAGAGATTTACTGTCTCCCATAGTGGAAGTGCAGGCAGGCTCTCTTATGCTTGGATGGCAAGCATGACCTGTGTTCATTATCTTACCAACTGTTGGCTGGAGCACAATTGTTATTCTATAAAGGGAGCTACCTCTTAGTTTCTTCTCTAAAGAAATACACACCTGCTCAGTCCTAACTGTATCTCCTCTGATCCTCAGTAGAGATATTCCTCCCTGAGATGGAGGGATAGATTAGGGCAGAGATATAAGTGGGGGGAGCCCCTGAGATGGAGGGATAGATTAGGCCAGAGTTACAGTGTGCAGGGAGAGCCCCTGAGATGCAGGGGTAGGCCAGAGCAGAGATACAGTCTTGGAGAGCCCCTGAGATGGAGAGGTAGGCCAGGGAGAAATTTTGTCTGGGAGTAGGGGTAGCCCCTGAGATGGAAGGGTAGGCCACTGCAAACATAGAGTCTAGGGGGGAGCCCCTGAAGTGGTATTCAGGGCAGAACCAGTCTAAGCAGTGTGGGATCTGGGGACATTCATGGGACAGTTCTGCTTCCCTACCCTCAAAGGCCTGCAAGATCTCTTGGGCTTGATAGCACACGAGCATCTGGAAAATTCTCTGTGGAACCAGGGCACAGAAAGTGTGCAGGGTTGTGCACTCTGGCCCTAGTGCTGCAGTGAGCCATCCTTGATGGATGTTTTTGGCCTCTGTTCACAGATAACTACACCTTTCTCCTCCTCAACGATGGGGCATCACACATGGCCCCAAGAGCATGGGATAGTCTGCCGTGTGGCTCAGAAACTCCATTTATCTCTCCCTTAAGGGCTGCTTAGGCTTTTGGTGTCTTGGGCTCTTTTATGTCAGCAGATGCCATATAAAGGTGAAATCCCAGCGTTGACAGGAGAGACAGTTTACACTGCATGGGAGAACAGGACCCGGACGGCTCTTCTATGGGCAGCTCTTCTGCATGGTGTTTGGGTTCTCTCAGAAGGCCAGAACACAGCTCTCCACCTGGAGAGTGTAGTCTGTTATTAGGCAGCGCAATTTGGAAGATAAAAGGCATTCTCATCAAACTTAGCTGGCCCTGCTCCAGTGCTTAGGCATTTCTGAAATAACAATCCATGTAGGTCACCTTGACCGAGCCCTTTCTTCCTGAAAGTTCCATAAGCATGCTGCCTGTTTTTTTTTTCCTCCTCACCATCCCCCTTCCTTGCAGTGGCATTCTTTGGGCTAGCCTTTGGTACCATCACTCTTCGTTATTTCAACAGACTTTCCCGACACGTGTGGGCTACATGCCATACAGGTTCCCCCTTGTGCATGAGAACTACAGGGCAGAGATCTGTAAAGCCTGAGGCCCCGGTTCACATCCCAGGGTGGTCTTGGGATGTCCTGTGGACTTTGCTTCCTACACTTTGAGCTGGATGGAAATCTGGCCCTGGGTAAAGGCTGTAGGGAATTGGAAGGGCTAGACCAGAGATGGAGGCCACTTGTTTATTGCTATGCCTTTTATAACCGACTGAGACAATGTCTGGCCACCTGCATAGCAATGATGGGATATATATACAGTTACACCCAAGTTTGATAGTCATAACAGAGGGTAGTTATTCTCTCCCCATGATTGACGTGGCTGGGGAAAAAAGGCAAGGCTTGCTTCACTTCAGCAGTGAGCTGGCCCTATTGCCTCTCCCCCAAAATTTGCAACAAGAAAGATGCTTTTAGTAATAGAGTCTAATTTCTTAGGATTCTTGCCATTGGAATGCACGCCTCAACATAAATCCCTCCTCCTGTTGCAGCGTGGAGGGGTTCTCACTGGAAACAGCTGTCCCCATTGAGCAGAAGTGTTCACTGGCTGTAGAATTAAGCGTTAACAACAGGATGGAAAATTAGTGGGGAGAGAAGTTTTCCTTCCTTCCTTCCTTTCTCTCTCTCTCTCTCTCTCTCTCTCTCTCTCTCTCTCTCTCTCTCCCCCCCCCTCTCTCACACACACATATATGCATGCCATATATTTACTTATGACTGCCTTTCTGGACTCTTGCTATTGGCTGGACTTCTAGCTCCTGGGAGCCAGCTGGAGGTAGTCCAGAGACCCAGCCTTAAGTAGACTTAAGCTATGTTTCACAAATACACTTCCCAGATTCTGCGTAAGCACACAGGCCTTGATTTGGATACTCTCTGTGTAGTGGCCGCACTCCATAATAGCATAGAACCAGCTGCCGTCTTTGGAAAACCTGTCCAGGAAAAGCTTCCATCCAGAATTTCCGGGACAAATCCTCTTTTGAGATGGGTGAAGCCCAGAGCTGCCTAAGTTATGAATCACTGGGTCATCTACAGCCTTTTCTTCAGCAGAGGGCTGAGGGCTGGAGGCCTGTGAGTGCAGCAGAGGGGTGAAGTCGCCTTGAGAAGGGTCTCCTCTTCCTCCCCTAGACTGTCTGTCTGCGGTTT